AATTTTCCAAGAATCATATAAAAAACTCTCACAAATTAATTTTCCAAGAATCATATAAAAAACTCTGACAAATTAATTTTCCAAGAATCATATAAAAAACTGTCACAAATTAATTTTCCAAGAATCATATAAAAAATTTTCACACTCCTCATTTCATCATATGAAACCTTACGAAAATCGACTATATTTAAACAAGCAATAAATAATTTATCAAAGCTCAGGGATCCACTTTCTCATCAAAAACAAAATATAAAATGCATAAAAGGGGACAAATGAATCATCCTCGGAACTGAGGCCGCGGCATTCCACCTGGACCGCGTTGATTACCACGTGGGCCACCACGTCCCCGAAATGCGGTACCACGTCCTGAAAGTGAATAAATAATACAGAATACTTTTCTTAGATTTCTTATTAAGCTAAGCCAGTAAGATTGATTTAACACTGCAAACGTTATGATCCCTAAAAATCTTATTTGAAATATCTTTACTGGTTAGGGAAGTCTCATATCATACAGTAAAATTAAATTTTTGTTAAAGTAGTTTACCTCGAAGACCACGTCCATCACGGTTATCTCCCATTCCCATACCAACAGCTCCTTTCTGGGCTCGACCAATATTCTTAAACATTGGTGCGTTTTTCAACATGTCTGGTAAAATCATAAACCGAATCTTTGATCCACGAATAAAAACATTGTCCAAATGATGAGTCCTTCCATCTCGATAAGTCACTGTGACTTCACTCATTTGACAGTTCATGTTATCCTCTGCCTGAAATGGCAAAATAAATTCTAGACAATTTTCCTCCAGTTTCTCGGTTAAACACCATATAAAGTTAAAAAATTTGAAAATATTTCCTCCGATTATTTAGTAATTTCATGTCTTAATTTTTCGATCTTGAAATAACCGTTCAACTAATCCAGCCAATTAAGATACTAAAAATCTATCCACCTCTCTGCTAGGAAATTTAATGCGAACTACCTCATTCAATTTACCACGATATACTTCGCCAATTGTCGTTTCAAGTGTAATAACATGACCTTCAGCTTCATGCAAAATCTTAATTGGAACACCAATCGCAGTCATTGCGAACCTGCCAAATAAACCAAAAAATATAGCAATAGAAAGTTATCGAAGAAAAAAGATAAAAATACTATTGATAATCTAATTTCGACAGTTCCGTTATCGTGTAATGTGATAAGGATTCAAATTCAAATATGGATATATAAACGATAATAGTATTAGATGTTTATTACATACATAATCCCTCAATTGTGTAAATACTTTATACGCTTTTACAATAAACATATAAAATAACGATGCCATACAAAATGACGAGATCGTTAATGGAATTATATAGATGCAGTCAAAATTTAAAGAAATGAAAAGTAAGTCAGTAATATCACTGGAATAAAAAAACTTCCAATGCCGAGCTATGGCATTCCTAAAAATGATCACATGAATACTACCTCAACGAATTATATTTCGTATTCTTTCCAAACCATGAAATGAATTTCAACTTTCAGAAGTGAATAAAAACAAATACAATTCTAAATGCTAACTGTGGCATAAATAAATATGTACACACATCACTTTTCTATGTTATTTTACTAAAA